GGTGTCGCTTCCTCCGATAAGGCATCAGTCCGGTTGGATTAGGACCCCGCCCTTAGGACCTAATTGAACCACAATCACCTTCTTAAGGGCCCTATATCCAGATATTGTCACATTCAGGTTTAGGACTCAATCACATGGATTTTGTGGGGATACAAGGCAGTCCACAGTAGTAGGAAAACCAGAAAATCCAATTTAAAAAGAAATCGCTCAGGATCTCCTCTTATTCCTGTCTTCATTCACACCCCAGTCTAACCACGTGACTGCTTTTATGGGCTGTCCTTCCATAACTTGTGTATTTGAAAATTAAACTGTACATACATTTTAGTAGCCTGTTTTTTTTCTTTTACATCTTAAAGGTTATAGTAATCTCAGCTAAATAGGAGTTTTATGGTAACGTATGTAATTGTAAGATGCTTTTCATTGTAATATTTTCATTGTAACCTTTATTATTTAGTGGACATAAATTGTTTCATGGCATGGATATGCTCTAATTTCTTTCTTTAATGTATCTTATTGATTATGCTACTACAGTTGCCCCATTCTCCCCCCTTCACTCTCCACCCACATTCCCCGCCTTTAGTTCATGTCCATGGGTCATACATGTAAGTTCTTAGGCTTCTACATTTCCCACACTATTCTTACCCTCTCCCTGTCTATTTTCTACCTACTGTCTATGCTACTTATTCTCTATACCTTCCCCCCTTCTCCTCCTCTCACTCCCCTGTTGCTAACCCTCCATGTGATCTCCATTTCTGTGGTTCTGTTCCTGTTTGCTTAGTTTGTTTTAGGTGTGATTGTTAATAATTGTGAGTTTGCTGTCATTTTACTGTACATATTTTTATCTTCTTTTTCTTAGATAAATTCCCTTAACATTTCCTATAATAAGGGCTGGGTGATGATGAACTCCTTGAACTTGACCCTTGTCTGAGAAGCACTTTATCTGCTCTTCCATTCTAAATGAAAGCTTTGCTGGACAGAGCAATCTTAGATGTAGGTCCTTGCCTTTCATGACTTGGAATACCTCTTTCCAGCCCCTTCTTGCCTGTAAGGTCTCTTTTGAGAAATCAGCTGACAGTCTGATGGGAATTCCTTTGTAGGTAATTACCTCCTTTTCTCTTGCTTCTTCTAGGATTCTCTCCTTCATTTTAATCTTGGGTGATGTAATGATGATGTGCCTTGGTGTGTTCCTCCTTGGTTCCACCTTCTTAGGGACTCTCCAAGCTTCCTGGACTTCCTGGAAATCTATTTCCTTAGCCAGATTGGGAAAGTTCTCCTTTATTATTTGTTCAAATAAGTTTGTCACTTATTGCTCTTCCCTTTCCCCTTCTGGTATCCCTATAATTCAGATGTTGGAACATTTAAAGATGTCCTGGAGGTTCCTAAGCCTCTCCTCATTTTTTTTTCTTTTTGAATTCCTGTTTCTTCGTTCTGTTCTGGTTGGATGTTTCTTTCTTCCTTCTGGTCCACACCATTGATTTGAGTCCCAGTTTCCTTCCCATCACTATTGTACATTTTTCTTTATTTCATTTAGTGTAGCCTTCATTTTTTCATCTAATTTGTGACCAAATTCAACCAATTCTGTGAGCATCCTGATTACCAGTGTTTTGAACTGTTTGTTCATCTGATAGGTTGGCTACCTCTTCTTCATTTAGTTGTATTTTTCTGGAGCTTTGATCTGTTCTTTCATTTGCGCCATTTTTTTTGGTCTTGACGCACCTGTTACGTAGTGAGGGGTGGAGCCTTAGGTGTTCACCAGGGTGGGGCAACCCCTGTCTCTGGGTTATGATGCTGTATGTGGGGCAAGGGTTCCAGAGGGAACAATGGCACTTGCTCCACTCTCTGCCAGATTTCAGTCACTTCCCCTGCTTCCCACAAGCAAACTGGGCCCTTCTGGTGCTGATTCCTGGGTGGACAGTTTCATGTATGTTCTAGGACCCTTTGGGCCTCTCCAATGAACTCTCCTGTGAGGCTGGGATTCTCTCCTGACACCTCAACTCCCACAGGTGTTTTTCAGTTGTGGTTTGAGGCTTTGTTTCCCCCTGCTAGGACCCTGGGTTGTGCGGTCGTCCCACTTCCCATTTTCGCCTGGTTTATCTGCACGCAAAGGTGGGACCGCCTGGTCTGCCAGCTGCCGCCTTGCTGGTTAGCTGCAGCCTTGCGCACCCTGTTCCAGAATCCGCCACCTCACTGCCTTGCTTGCCCAGGTCCACCAGCCACCGCTTTGCCGTGAGTCCTCTCTGCCCGACTGCCCCACTCCACCCCTCCTACCGGTCTGGATGAATGTGTCTTCTTCAACTCCTTGGTTGTCAGACTTCCATACAGTTCGATTTTCTGCTGGTTTTTGGTTGCTTTTTGTTTTTAAATTATTGTTGTCCTTCTTTTGTGAGGTTATGCAAGGAGACACAGTGTGTCTACCTATGCCTCTGTCTTGGCTGGAAGTCCTCCTAATTTCTTAATTTATCTAATCCCTTATTGTCTACAGACATGGGTGTGTGTTAGCTCTTGACTTCGGGCCAACAGTACCTTCACCTGAGCGTCGGTTTCCTCATCTGTGTTATCAGGATAACAACAACAGTATCACCTCGGTTAAGATAATGACTTTGAAGTGCTTCACACAGTATCTAGTGCATGGAAAATCCTAAAAGCCACTGTTATATTATGGTGGTATATATATATTATAATTTATCAGCAGTGAGCCCGAGTGAAATATTTCCCTGACACTCCCATCTCACTGTGCCAAGTTCACCTTCAGTGGCAACTTCTTGGTGGCTGAGCCCATCCCCATTTGCCATGGAAGAAGGATGTGAGAAATCCCATCACTGGTGGGAAACATCTAGCCCCCAGTGTGAATTGATATGTGGGAATGTCAGTATACATACTTCAGGTCTTTTTCAGATTTCTGGCACCAAAACTGCATGTTATTTCCCTGATTAAAATTCTCCAGTGACCCCCAAGGACCCTGAACATGTGACAACTCCTAGAGGTGGCTGAACAGACCTGGCATGACCACTCAGCCTCCTCTGTCATCCCTGCCTCCAGCCAGACAAAGAGCCATCGGTCCCTCAAGCACACCACTCTCACTCCCACCCCTGGGCCTTAGCATCTGCTCCTCTCTGTGTCTGGAGTGTGCGTCCCTTTCCTGTCTTCTCATCACTTAGCTAATTGCTCTTTGTCCTTAGTTAGCGTTGCTGCTTAGAGGCCCCCGAGTGGGTGACAGCAGCGCCCTACCTGTCTCTCCCCACACACTTTTACCATTTGAGTGCACACAGGCTAACTAACCCCCAGCCGGTAGCACCCATGTCTATTGCCTGGGGAGCTTTCTGTGGTCACTGGAACCCACTCAGCCAACTGCAGGGCAGGCCTGAATTGCAAAGAACAGAGCAGTGTCTGTCTGTTTATCACTGTATCTCTTGTGCTGTTGAAGTGCCTAGTGCATATTTGTTGAGGAGATGAATACACATTGAGCGTGACCACTGCATCTGGCTCCCTAGATACACCAGGCTGGAGTCACAGATCAGGGACAGATTTTCTACCTTGATCAAACTTCTAAGGCCTTACTCCTCTGAATTCACAGATATTTTAATTTTCCCTCAAGACAGAGCATATCCTTCTTTGCACAATCAAACTGTGAACACTAGGACATTTTGAAAGAGAAAAATCGCTGAGGGAGGCCTAATGTGGCAACTGGGACTTAACAGAAACTGTAGCTCCAAACTTCCTTGGCAGCCAAAGCACGAAGAGGAACCCACGGGCCACAGAACTTTGTTGTCCGGAAGAAGGAAGGCCGCTGACTGCTCGCCCCAGAGCCGTGCTTGTCGGTCTGGAGGGCGAGGTGGCCAGAGTGCCTGGTAGCGTGACGGGGTGGGGCTGGGGGCGGTGGTGGAGGCCAAGAAGCTTATTTTCCTGGTGCATCTATTTGCTCAGTGAATTAAATAAATTAAAATAATATTCATAGTAAGGGAAGCAAGCGCATATTAAGGAACTTTCTGGGAAGTTTTCATGGCTGTTTAGGATGAACTATGTGACAGCGGAGGTGTCACAGTCTTTTCTGGGGCCTCGGCTTCCTGGGGTGGAGACGTGACCTTGGACCGATGATTTACACGCCTGAGCTTCGCCGTCCTCGCCCAGGAAGAACGATCACTGCGGATGAAAGGAGGTGGTGCGTGTGAAGTGCGTGGGTGGACCAGCGCTTGCTGTGCTGTTGCTCGTGCGTTGTCCTGACCTAACGGCTGAGAGCAGAGCGGCCTTGACTCGGGCCAGACAGCCTGGGTTTAAGTCTCAGCACCCCCAACTCACTAGCTAGGTGACCCTGGGCAAGGTCACTCAGCCTGTGTGTACCTCAGTTTCCTCCTCTGTAGAATGAGGCTTGTAGGGTTATTCTGAGGGCTAAGTGCGTCGATTATTTGTGAAGCCCTTAGAACAGTGCCTGGGCACACAATGAACCCGTTCGTTCCCTTCTGCTCTTAAAGGTTCTAAAGGAGAAAAGTTAGAAAATAACAGCTTCATAGAGAGGTTATTTCCAGACACTGATTTATAAAAGGAGTAAGTCTCTGTAACTAGTTATCCTAAAGAAATACTTGCTTCTTAGCAGATCCCGAGGCAAACCACGTTTACAATGGTGGAATCATCGGCAGGGAACTGGCTGGACAGGAGTCACCTGGGGGGCATACCCTGCTGCGCTGCGGCTCCACGCACCCTTCCACGGAACGTGACAGAGAGGACCGGTGGCTTGTCTAGCACCGGCCCTGGGCGGGCCAAGGGGAGGAGGAGGGAAGGACCTCCCGGGATCCCCTCGCTCCCTCCCTCCCTCACTCACCCAGTGAGAAATGACATTCACGGAGAGGGGCGGGCGGGAGGGAGCGAAGGAGAGGGGCAGGCTCCGCGAGGCCATGTGATGCTGGGCGAGAGAGCGCCAGCCGCGGCTGAAGCCTCCTTCTTTCCGCCCTCGGATTCCGGGCTGTCATGGCGACCCCCAACAACTTGACCCCCACCAACTGCAGCTGGTGGCCCATCTCAGCGCTGGAGAGCGATGCGGCCAAGCCTGCGGAGGCCCACGACGCGCCCGAGGCGGCCAGCCCCGCCCATTGGCCCAAGGAGAGCCTGGTTCTGTACCACTGGACCCAGTCCTTCAGCTCCCAGAAGGTACAGCTAGAGAAAGCAGGGGAACCGGATGCGCCGGGTGGCTAGGAAGCTCGGGGGAGGGGATTCCGGAGGGCTTACGGGGTCTGAGGACCCGGCGTAAGAGGAGGGTGGAATCTGGGGTTTCCGAGCGGAGGACGGGAGATGCTGGGCTGCTCTCCCTGGAGGTGACTGGCTCTGTCTTCCGCCCCAGGAGCACTGACCCCAATTGTAGGAATATCCATCCTCTTTCCCTTCCAGAAAGACCCGCTCCATTGGAGGGCTGAGAAGAGAGACAAAGGCAGAGGGAAGGGAATGGGCATTGCTGGAAAGGCGGCCTGTTGGTAGGAGGAGCGCTTCCTGGGGTCCAGCCTCCAGCCATGGTAGCCCTGCCTCCGAGCTCCTGTCCCGGATACTACAGGCCTTCAGGTCTCGGCTCCTCTGCCCCTCTGCCCCTGTGCATGGCTGGGGGCCTTGTTCTGGCTTGGAGGGTACATCTCTAGCCCCCCATCCCCGCCCCCCACCCCCTTAGTATAGAAGGAAGGACTTAACTCTTTTGAGACCAGCCCAGACGTGAGATCTGTGTTTTACTATTACAGGCACAATATGGCCTCTCGGTCACTCCTCAGACTCAGGGGAGCTAGGGGTCAGCTAGGAATACAGCCTGGTGCTGAGTTATTGGGGTTCCCGCTTCTGGCGGTGAGGGCCCAGCACTGCGCCTCTAAGACAGGAGTGCCGGCCTCTAGGAGCTCAGTCTCTCACTTGCGGCGGCTGTCCAGTTGGGGGGGGGGGGGGGTTTCAGCACCATGGCCAGGGCCCAGTGTTCGCGGACCATTGCCTGTCCCTGGAAGATCCTCTTGTTCTGTGCACTCATTTTCCAGATGCAGAAACAGATTCTGTAACAAGAAAGGGCCTTGGAACCAAAAGATTTGGGTCTGAGTCTTGGTCCAGGCTCAGCTTTATAGTCTGAAAAATGGGATAATAATAATAATAGCTGCTTCTAATTCCAGCCCCTCTGAGGGTTGCTGCAAGGGTTGTTGAAGAGGCGGCATAACTTACTGCTCCAGACCGGCACTACTCAAACTTGATCGTGCATTGGAATCTCTGCATGATCCTGGCTAAAGCACAGACTGCTGAGTCCCACCCCAGATATTCTGACTCAGTATTCTGGCCCGGGGCCCAAGGTGCTGCATTTCTAACACGCTACCAAGTGATGCTGATGAAGCTGGTCTCCCTTTGAGTAATTCCACTTCAGGGTATAGATTCTGAGGCCAGACAATCCCCAGTGGGTGGGATTGCCATCTTCCCTAATAACTTACTATGGGGATTTGGACAGGTCACTTTATCGCTCCAAAGCCTCAGTTTTACAATCTGTAAAATGGAGCTAATGGCAGCACCTTCCTCAGAGGGCTGGAGATGAAATGGTGAAATGAGCTGATGCCCCAGAAGTGCTGATGGCAGGGCCTGGCATGGACTCAAGTCTCTGTGAATAATGGGTGTTACGGTGTCATCAAAGTACTAGGTGGCAGAGAGGTTGGTTTAGCCCAGATCTCCCTGGGGTTCGTCCATGAATTTTACTCATGTGCACTGAACACCTACTGTGTGTTAGGCTCTGTGCAAGTCGTTGGGGGTTGGGGGTTTGGAGAGGAATCAGCCTGACCTCCAGATGTTAGCATCTCCTCCCATCTGAACCTCAGGAGCCAGGCCCAGTGCTGGGGACTGGACAGGAGGCGGAGGGATGACACTTCTCATTACCATCCCCTGGGGGAGCTGCCTCCTCTTCCCCATGTGGGATGTTTTCTGTTCAGCCTGATCTCAGGGCTAAAGTGGCCCCCTAGTCATGGCTGGAACCGCCCACTGCCAGGCCCCTTCGTGACCAGCCTCTCACCGAGCCAGTCTGAGCATCTTCCAGCTTCTCCTGCCAGGGCCGCCATGCTGCCCAGGGGCCCATGGTGGGTACTAGAGGCAGCGTTAACCTGGCAGAAAGGGCATGGGCTCTGCAGTCAGTCCTGGGTTCCAGTCTCATCTTGAGTGTTACTGGCTGTGCGACTTGGGTACATCACTTCACCTCTCTGTGCCTCAATATTCTTATCTGTAAAAGGGGAATTTTGCATCCTACCCAGAAGAATTCCTGGGGGACTGAGAGGACATGGACATATGTTAAGTGTCTGGCATGTAATAGGAACTTAGCAGGTGAGTTTCCTGTCATCCCTTCAGTCCCGAAGGGCCTTGCCTGCACACAGGGAACAGGTCCCCATGCGGAGCATGGGAAGCCTGTCCTTAATGGCACATGAGTTACTAATAGCAGGAACAGCCCACCCCCAGGAGTGGTGGTGGCGGCCCCCATGGAGCATCTGGAGACTATTCCAGAGCCAGAGGGTAGCAGGACAGTGAGGAGTCCAGAGCCCAGACCCTGTGGCCAGACTGCCCAGGCTTCAATTTCAGTTCCACCACTGACCAACTGGGTAATCCTGGGCAGATCGCTTAACCCCCATACCTCGGTTATCACATCTGCCCATTGAGAATATTACTAGCACCTCCCTGTTAGAGTCATTGGGAGGAGCTGGCAGATGTATCCGTGTAAATCATTCAGCACAGCACCTGGCACAGGGCAAGTGCTCAGTAACTGCACCTACACTTACAGCACGTACAGCTCTACCCCTTCCAGCTCCATGACTTTGTGCAAGTGTCTTTACCTTTCTTCCTCTTTTTTAATCCTCACCTGAGGATATGCTTTTGGTGACTTTAGAGAGGAAGGGCAGGTGGAGGGGGAGAGAGAGAGACACCAGTGTGAGAGAGAAACATCGACAGGTTGCCTCCTGTGTACACCCCAAGTGAGAATTTAACTTGAAACCTAGGTATGTGCCCTGGCTGGCAATTGAACCCACAACCTTTTCGTGTACAGGATGATGCTCCAACCACCTGAGCCACCTGGCCAGGTCTTCACCTTTCTTAAGTCCCGGCTTCTTCATATGCTTAGGAGTATGCAGAGGGCTAGGACTAGGGCTGTGAAGATCAGGCGATATGCATGATCACATACTTAACTCGGTGCCTTTAAAAACTGCTCTCCAACAGTGAACTTTCAGGTATCACCGTAGGTGACCATTTGGGGCCACAGGGTTCAGAGGGGGGTGCTTCTGAGGCTGTTCCTGCTCCTAGCCCGTTCTCCTTTGGGGAGGTGAGGTTCAGAGGGGCAGAGGGTTCAAGGAGTTGAGACACCAGAATTCCAGTGCTCACACTCACACTCACCGCCTGTGTGAGCTCAAATCAGTCCTGGCCCTCCCTGGTTCTCAGTGTCCACAACAGGAAGATGCCCTAGGTGTTTGATGCACCCAGCCTCCCCCCACCCCCAGGCAGGAAGAACTGCTTTACTTCCGTGTGCCCCCACCCCACCCCCTGTGCTCTGAGAATCCTTCTGTCCTAACGCAAGCCAGTTAAAAAAAAAAAAAGATTGCTACTACTAGTGGTGTGACTTTGGGCAAGTTATTTACTATCTCTGTTTTCTGTTTTGTAAAATGAGCATAATACTAGTACCTACCCCATTCGATTTTTCCAAGGATTAAACAAGTTAGTGCATGTAAAGGTCTCAGTACAGTGCTGTGTAAGAGTTAGCTATTATTACTGTTGTCGTTTCCCCTGGGGTGAGTTTCTGGGCGCCATTCCTAGCTCCCTGCAGCAAGCCTGGTTCAAGGGTGCCCCCATTCTCTCAGGGTCTGCCTTTGCCTTGGGTGTACCTGGGGGGAGCTGCTGGCCTAGCCTTTAGCCCCCAGGAGTAAAAGGCCCAGGTCTGGTCCTACCATAGGCCAATCCCAACACCCAAGACAGAGCAAGTCTCCTAGAAATCGCTTTACAGATACAGCAGGAGGGCATTAAATGACCTCTACCTCTCACCCAAGCCTCGCCTTTCACGCTCTTGGGCACTGACCTCCAGCACTTCCCATACTGCTGCACCTGACCACTTACCTAGCCCCCAGGAGGCCCCAGGTAAAAACTGTGATCTTATCACTCTGCTCAGAGGCCCGCAGTGGCTCCCCAGGTCCCTCTGGGAAAAAGCCAGAGTCCTCACAATGGCCTCAGGCCTTCCTGCAAGATCCTAACCTTCCTTGGGTCATGGGTCCCTCATCGGTCAGGGGAACCCTCTGGACCTGTCTCAGAATAATGCTTTTAATTGAATAAAATACTTAGGGTTATTAGATTAGAAGGGAAACCAATCTACTGAAGTGTAGCTATTGACATATTTTTAAAACAAGTTTGTTATATAATGACATGTTTCTATATTAACCCATTATATAACACGGTCTAGTGGCAGGACTGATAAGTACAGTGATGCTGAAGTCGTGATGAGTGTAACTGCCACAACTGTGAAGTGATGAAAATATCGGATTCCTAGTGGTGACAATATTCCAGGCACTGCTGACACCACCATGCTTTGTCGCCTACACTCATAATTAAAGAAGAAGCTAAACATCAGTTTGAGATTGCTGAAAATAAACATGTAATTTTCCCATCCTAGTTCAAGGACTTTCTGAATTTCCTCATGGACCCCTGGGTCTAGGCGTCTCAATTAGAAGTCCCTGTGCGTGATCCTTTCTGACCTCTTCCCCTCCTCTCCCAGGCCCACCCACCCTGCTTTGGCCACCCTGGCCTCCTCACACACGGCCTCTTCACTGGCTGTCCCCCTGCTTACAGCCGTCCCCTGTGTGGGCCACTCCCTCACTTCGTTCAGACCTTTGCTCCAAGGTCACCTTCTCAAAGAGGCCAGCCTCGGTGGATCGCCCTACTTAAACCTGTCACCTGCCTCCCTGACACCCTGGTACCCCCAGTTGTATACTCTGATGTATTTTTTCTTTTCTTCTGTTGCACTCACCATCTTCTGACACATTCTGTCACATTAACTTTTCATCATCTGTGTGTGGCCCCTCTAGAACTCCATCTTCCCCAGGACAGGGGTCCTTGTTCACTGCGGAGTCTCCCACACTTAGAACAGGACTGGGCGCAGAGTAGGCGCTTGATAAATTAGGTGTTGGGAATTGACGAATTTGTAAGCCATATATGTTACATTAGAAAAAAGGTATTTTATTCTGCTCTAAAATATAAAGTTTATTAATTTAAAACTAAGGTATTTGAGATAAGTAAACCAAGGCTCAGAGATTCAAAGTGTCTTTTGAAAAGTCACACAGCAACTAAGTAAGTGGCTAGGAAGAGACCCATCACAGTTGTGTCGGAAACAAGGGCTTGGGTGAGGAGGGATGGTGCCTGACCATGACAGTGAAGCACCAGCGGGTGAATTTCAGGCACCCACAGGGAAGATAGTTTGCCCAGAGATGGTTGATGTCTGGTTCCACTGAGTGGTGACCACCTAAGTGTGGTCCAGCCCCCAGGAGGCAGAGATGGCAGATGGCCTTGGTGACTGTGCCCTTCCCCTGGGCCTGGCTTCCTCCTGCACCCCCCTCCCCTGCAGGATGGCGCATGGCTCTGGCCTTCAGCTCAGCAAAGGAGAGAGTCTCCTTGGCTGCTTGCCAACATGACCCGAGGCAGCTCCAAGAGGACTCTTATGCCTCTAAAGATAGTGCCCTCCCCAGGCAGCCACCTCACCTGGCACCCTCACTGGTATGTCAGGACAGGGCAGATGTCCTGCCAGGACAGAGGCCAAATGCCTGCCGTTGCCAAGGGCAAAGGCTAGGTTTGGTTTCTCTTTCCCCCATTCAGAGGCCCCACTTGGCCCAGAGGCTGGACGACCGGACAGAGCCTGACCTCCGATGCAGGAGGATGCCTGGAGAGGCAGGAAGGGGTTGGTGGTTTGGCTGCAGCCAAACTTCAGCCTCAACGGCTTTGGGGCTTCTCTAAGGCACAGTCACTGCCCATGAGCTCAAATGTACAGAGACACATGTGGTCTCGTGCATGCATACTCACTCGTATCCACACTAATGCACACGTGCTCACACAATACTTGAATACTCACACTGACTGGCACACTCGTCCATACATACCCACTCATGCACGCATGTGTGCACACAGACATGCACACACATTCACACACTCACACACCCAGACTAAACAGATGCCACCCCTGGGTGCTCACTCTCTGCCACAGTTCCTCCCTCTCTGTCAGACAGACCCAGCCGTTCCCTCCCACAGCCCTGTCTCCTGCGTGGTCTGAATGTAGTGTCAGTTCCCTGCAGGGCTGCAGCCCCTTGTTTTACTAATGAGAAAGCAGAGGCTCAGGAAGGGACCATGATTGCTCTAAGGTCACACAGCACTGCTGTGGCAGAGCCAGGGTGTGGCTGCCTTCCAGTATCATTGGCAGGACCTGCTTCTGGCTAAAGGAGCAATGAATGAGCATTGGGAGTTCAGGTGCTAAGTACCTCGCCCTGCGCACAGTTCACTCAACAGAAGTCATGTCAGCTGAGAGTGTGGGGCATGAAGCACTGTAGGACATCACCAGGAACCTGTGCAGAGGATATGTGTGCTAATAGTGAGGCTAGAAACCACGTATTAACCTCCTGTGCTGGGACTTCACCCACATCACCCCATCCCAACCTTGAGTTAGCCTTGAAGTAGATTACATTCCTCATTTCACAGAAACTGGGGATCAGAGAGGTCAAGTGACTTGCCCAAGGTCAAGTGACTTGCCCAAAGTCACACAGCAAATAAACAGTGGAACCAGGCTTTAAGTCCATGTCTGTCTGCCTCCAAAACCTATTCTAATGCAAGTAGCTAAGACACATGACCTCTATTGTATGCCAGGCTTTTTTCCACAGGAACTGATTCTCACAACAGGCCTCTGAGGGAAATGCTAGTGGCACTCCCATTGTACAGATGAAGAAACTGAGGCACACAGATGTAGAGCTATTTGTAAAGTCAAGTTATCCAACAAGTAAGGGCTAGAGGTGGGATTTGAACTGACACAGTCTGGCACTCAGTCCAACATGCTGAACATGACCCCACGCTGCCCCGTCTGGGTTTTTAACTCCTGGCATCTGGGAAGGAAGCTGGCGATGCCCTGTCTTCAGAACTTCTGTTTAGGTGTGTAGGGACATTGATGCTCAGGAGGGGTGGGGTCACTCGCCATATTTTTGCTGGGGGAACCTTGGATAAGTTCAGCCTTCTTTCTGCGTCTCAGTCCCCAGGAAGGAGACAGTTGGACTATGTGATCGCTGTTTTCTGGCTCAGAAATTTTGGGCCGGGTCAGTACATACCCCTGCCACAAGGTTCTTCATTAGCTTCTACCTGCTCAAATGTTGGTCTGGAACACCCTAGGGTCATAGGGAAAAACTAAGGAGAGGGGAAGACCCAGGACTCCCTGGAAGGAGCCCCCCAGGGCAGAGGGCACTGGTCTGGGAATCAGGAACCATTACTTGTAGGTTTAGGTCTGCTGCTAAATTGCTCTGTGACTTTGGGTAAGTTACTTAACCTCTCTGGGCTTAGTTTTCTCATCAAGAAAAATAAGGAGATGGTCCCTGCTCTGCCCTCTTCTGGGAGGCTATTGTGAGCATCCAGTAACCAGATGGGAAGGCACATGTGGGGACAATAAAGGGCTCAATCGATGTTGGCAAATTATTTTTCACCTCATTTTCTTTCTCAAATAATTTGAAAACTTTCACTGATCGTAATAAGAACTTCTGCAAATTTCCTGGCTCACTCCACCTCTGCAGGCCAGGCTGAGTCCAGTCGTGATCATGATAATTGAGAATTGAGTGCCATCTACATACCAGACACTGGATGGGTACTACTAATGCTTCCATTTTACAAATAAGGAAACAAACTTAGAAAGTTTAAGGAATCGGCCCAAACTCACACAGCAAAACCAGGAATTCTATCCCAGGTGTGTCCAGCTGTGAAACTCATCCCTGTAACCACCAGGCCCTAGGCCCCTGGGAGATAGGACCCCCCCCACCTAGGGGCCTGAGAATGGACTGGAAGAAACAGTATCCCCTCCTGTGTGTGACCTCTGACCTCCCTCCCCACATGCCTCATCCCACCTGGGCAGTGTGTCCCCGTGTGTCCACCCGCCTTCCCCGCTCTGACCCTGGCACCTGCAGGTGCGGCTGGTGATCGCAGAGAAGGGCCTGGCATGTGAGGAGCGGGACGTGAGCCTGCCACAGAGTGAGCACAAGGAGCCCTGGTTCATGCGTCTTAACCTGGGTGAGGAGGTGCCCGTTATCATCCATCGTGACAACATCATCAGTGACTATGACCAGATCATCGACTATGTGGAACGCACCTTCACAGGAGGTATGGCTACCACACCCACCGGGGGCCTATAGGCTCAGATAGGAAGGCCCAGTCTCTCCCAAGATGAACCATGGGGCTACACAGCACAGATCCCCAGGGAAAGGTACTCCAGGGAAAGGGCGTGGTCCAGAACCCCTCTACCCCCACCTTGAAGCTCTGGGGCTATAGCCTCCTTCCCCAAGAAGTCTAGAGTCACAGGCATGGCCGCAGGCCCTTGGAAGCCCCTTGGGCATGAGCAGGACCTAAACCACCTTCTAAGCCCCCACAGGCCATGGTAGAGATTTTCCAGGATGCCAGGGCACCAGCAGCCCAGCCCCCGAGACCCTGTAGGCATAGTCAGGGCCACAGACTGCCAGGAAGCCCAAGGGCATGGGCCCAGACACCCTACAGCCTTGCAGACAAGAACAGGGCCAACACCCGGAGCCCTGTAGGTCTCTATGTCCCCTCCTTCCTTCCTCCCTCTGGCCTTGCTCTAGTTCAGGAGCTCACGGCAGAGCCTGAAAACACAGCTGAGAGGGGATCACAGCCCACGCACGCTGTTTAGAATGAATGTGAATTAATTGCCAACATTTAAAAATCAAGGAGAGCCCTGACAGGTGTGCCTCAGTTGGTTGGGCGTCATTCACAGAGTGAAAGGTTGCCAGTGTGATTCCCAGTCAGGGAAGTTGGGGTGCCAGAGGTTGGCCTCTTTCAACCAGGGTGTGGACTGCCTAGTCAGGGCCCATACCCCGGTCCAGCTGCTGGCTGTGCCTTGCAGAGAACGTGGTGGCCCTGATGCCCGAGGCTGGCAGCCCGCAGCACGCGCGGGTGCTGCAGTACCGCGAGCTGCTGGACGCGCTGCCCATGGACGCCTACACACACGGCTGCATCCTGCACCCCGAGCTCACCACCGACTCCATGATCCCCAAGTACGCCACGGCCGAGATCCGCAGTGAGTGCCCGGGGCCCCTTGCGGACCCCGTTCTTTGCCCACCTGCTCCCTTTCGATGGGAGTCCTCCCTCTTCCTCCTCTTGCTTTCTACTTAGCGTGTCTCTTACTTTCCTTCTTCCTATTCTCCCTCCTTCTCTCTTCCCCGTCTCTGCCTCCCTCTCTATCCTGTGAACAGGACACTTTCTGTCTCTGAATCTGCGGCTCTCACTCTGGGTTCCTCTCTCTCTCTCTCCCCCCGCCCCCCTTCTTGCTTGCTTTCTCTCTTCCACTCTCTCTGGCTTTCCATTTCATTTACTCTGTTTCACACTGAATATGTCTTTCCCTCTCTGTCTCCCAGTTCCCTCTCCCACCCCCTACTTTTGTCCCCTCATCCCATACAGAGCCTATAAGGCTGTCTGTCTCTCCAGAGGCTTGTCTTGTTCATGGGGAGCTAGGGCACCTCCCCACAGGGGTCCCAGTCCCAGACTCTTGGGTCAAGGCCCAGGGAGATCAGGACTGTGGTTGGTGGCCCAGGACACTGAGTGACATTAGTCTGGTGTCACTGAAGAAGGCTGCACAGATATGGTGAGGCCCCCTGGAGGGGGGTCTCTGATTTCTGGTTCAAGCACCAGCCATGGCCCAGGTCATCCTTTTGTTACCAGTATCCAGTAAATGGAGGTTGGATGAAATCAGGGTATCCATCAACAAGTTTACAGACTGTTGTCCAGGCTCTGTGCAGACCCCATGGGGCCCTGCAGACAAAGTCTGATGATTCTAAGTAGGTGATAGGTGCACAGTAAATGGTTGTGAGATTCAATCCCATCCCATTTAGTCAACAATATTTATGGGGTGTCTTATGTCCCAGGCCCTGGGCAGGGGTCTGGGGACTGATGAGGAGACACACAGCTTCTGTCACACTAGGGTCACAGTTCTGTGGAAGCAGAAAGACAAGTGACCAAGTAATTACAGTACGGGTCTAGGTAAATTCGAACAAACTGTTGAGGGCCATCTGGCTCTTTATATGAAATGCAGAAAGGACCAGACCGTGGAGATTCTCCTGCAGGTACACTTGGATGTGAGCACCAAGAAGTATGTACGACAATATTCAGTGCATGACAAGTGGTACTAGCAAGAGGCTGGAAATAACCCAGCTGTCCTTGAGTTGGGAACTGGGTAAATAAATTCTAGCCCTCTCATACCATAGAATGCCGTGCAGCTGTTTAAAAAATAATAGGCATATGGAATGTTCCCTAAGATATATTAGTGAGTAGAAAAAAAGTGAAGGCAAAATGCATCCGTGTGCTATCATGAATATATTTAAAAGGAGGTTAAATGGATACACAAGTGTTTCAGAAGCAAGGAGTGTTTGGGAAGGAGGCATGAGCAGCTGCCTATAGTGCTTGATTTAGGGGAGCAGAAATAAGGGACTACAGACTGAGAGGAGAGAGATTTAGTCTTCACCATGCATGATTTAATGTTCGAAGTTTTCAACAAGAATGTACGTATAATCTGTTCAAAACCAAACATAGTGTCAATCAGTGTTACGATAAGGAGGCTGTGGGACCACAGAAGATGCCCGGCCCAGCCTCTGGGGTCATGGAAGGATTCGGAAATGCAGCAATGTCCAAGGATGGCCACCGCCCAGGGATGGGTTAGAAGGGGAAGGGGAGGGAGAATCCTTGCAGATTCAAGAGCGAGAGGGCATGGTGTGTTCTGGGGACTGAAGGAAGTTCCGTGTGATTGAAGTGTAGCCCAAGGAGGCGCAAGTGGGCAAGTGAGAGTCTGGGGAGGAGGTCTGGCAGAATTGGAGTTTAATCCAAAGAGCAGTGGAGAAAGAGTGACGGGAAGTGACGTGACCGGATCTGCATTTTACAAAGACCACCCAACTGAGGGTGGGCAGAGGAGCTGGGAGGTCCTGACTATCATCTAGGTGAGCAGCGATGGAGGCCTGGACTAGGAGGAGGCAGTCCCTAAGTGTTTCTGGAGGCTGGAGGTGTTCCACCTTTCTGCCCTGAGCCATTTGAAGGCACCTGGAAAGCAACGAGGGTTCCAGAGCAGGCCCAGCCTGCTTCCTCCTTTGAAGAAGCTGAAAGGGTCCCAGGGCTCCAGCCCCAGTGGAGAGCGGTGGAGAGACCCCACGGGATACAGAAGTCCAAGGTCTTCCCTTGGCCTGGTCTGCCCTCCTAGAATCTACTGAGAGCCATACAAGCAGCTCCTATGACCGGCAAGAGAGAAGATGCTCTACTTGACCTTCACATTCATAAAACATCAGTGAGGCTTAATTTAGCCCCAAAGCTGAAAGATCTGAGAATGTGTTTATTGGGCTTTTATCAGGCCAGGAGACAGGGTGGTAAATGGTGAACTCTCAGAAGGCAGAAACTGAACAACTTTGGTTACTTATTTACTCAGCCATTCCAGTCATCCATCCAACACTCACGGAGTTCTTTTTTTGTGCCAGGCCTCTACGGGTTTTAAGAGAATAGAGATAAGTCTGACACAGCCACTGCTCTCCAGAAGCTCAGCTCTTGGTGGCAGACGTATACACCCAGAGATAAGTGCAGTAGCATCAAAATCTCCATGTACAGCAATACTGGTGGCGCACTGCACCATCCAGGGGGCACTTCTCACAGAGACTACCATGTGAATGGCATTGTGCAATTGCAGCTCTGATTGGCGTGCATGCATTCTTTGGCAGAAATCTGTGCAGTGTGCACCGGAGGGCTAAGTCACTGAGCGATCATATCTCCAAGAAGATCAGGAAGGACTTTGTGAAGAAGGTGGTCTTGAGCTGGATCTGGAAGGGGATTTTCAGGAATATAGAGGAATCCTATTCAGGGAGAAAGAAGAATGTGAGCAAAGGCCTGAAGGTTTGGAATGGTCAGGCACATTTCAGGAACATCAAGCATTTGGAGTGGCTAAAATGCTACCATCTGGATGCAGGGACAGTTGGGGGAACTCTGAGAGATGGAGTCAGTGAGGGCAGAGGAGATGGGTCCTGCTGGGTCTTTCAAGGCCAGTTGAGGACAGAGAGGAGCCTGGGATTGGTTTTAAGTAGGAAGTGGCATGGTCAAGTGTGTTTTGAGGAAGGTCTCTCTGGCAGAAGTGGGAGAAGAGCTTGGAGTGGAGAAAACACAGACAGAGGGGGTCAAAATCATGCAAGCAAAAGATTAACGGGGATAGTGAGAGGGTTGAAAGGGAGAAGGTAAATATGAAAAATAATAAGGAGGAAGAACAACAGGACCTGGGACCGACTTGGTGTGGGAGGAGGGACAAGGAGGGGTTGAGACAACCCTTAGGCATCTGGCTTGGCTTAGGGCGTGGGGTAGGGTGAGGGGATGCTGCCGTCTGAGGAGACTGCAGGGAAGGAGCAGGAAACATGATGAGGTGGACGGGGCCAGGATGTTTTCCAGAAGCCTGAGGATGTCCAAATGCAGCTGGGGTCCAGGGGAGGAGACCAAGCAGGATCGGGGCACCACCACACACTTGACCTACCGTGTCCCCAACTTGCTAAGAATTCCAGATAGTCCTGCCCCAGTGAGGGAACAGACCCAAGATCTTTTCCCACTTAATATTTCCATCTCCTCTTGTAAAACCCATAGTTTACAATTCGACTTTCAAAGTTAAAGACTTTTGAAGTTAGATTATAGGGCACTTCCTCTCTCCCATTAAGGATAATTCTTAGGGTGCCGGCTTGAATTCCCATCATTGACCCACTTTCTGTCGCTCTTGCCTTCTTGTCAGCAAGGCCAGTAAAAAAAAGACAGGTCATTGAGTCCCTAAATCTTTAGGGACGTTGCCTCACCAAAAGTAGAAGTTTCAAGACACCAAATGTCTCTTACACTTTTTCTTGCAATTAACAAGTTTTTCCTTGTGGGTACAGTGAGTGAGCACTAGACTGAGAACCGGGCAGACCCAGCTCCAAAACCAGCTTGTCACTCCCTAGTGTGGGCTGCTGTTTAGCCTCTGAACGTGTTTCCTCAACACTAAGAGGGTTTCGGGGAGGCACGCCCTGAAGCATGAGTTTTTCCACGTTTAGCATTACATTCATTTCTGACAAACTCCTGCTCGTCCCCAAGAGTAGAGTGGCTTCCTCAGAGAGGCTTCTTGACGTCTCTCTGGGTCCCACAGCACTCTGTCCACTCTTCATCCCAGACTGACCATCCTGAGCCACTAGTGGTCTCTTTAGATGTCCACCTCTCCGGTCATCCTGAGTCCGCAGCAGGGTGGTGTCTCAGCCGCTCCTGTGTCGTAGCTTGTTGTGCCTGTTAAGTGTTGGCTGCACAAGTGTTGGTCCTTGTTATTGTATGGGACCAACTCCAAGTTTGTGAGGGAAAGGGTGGGGTGACACTGGGTATCAGAAGGACAGGACCTTTCCTCTGCTCCCTCCAGGACATTTAGCCAGTGCCACCACGGACCTCATGAAACTGGACCATGAAGAGGAGCCCCAGCTCTCTGAGCCCTACCTTTCTAAACAGAAGAAACTCATGGTGAGTGCTCCCAGGCCTGCTCCTTCCTCTTTCCCGTCGTCTTTTCCATGGAAGAGGAGCTAGTTCTAGGTAGACAATCAGCTGATGACGTGAAATGGGAAATCCTTTGGCTTGCTTTTCCAATCCCGTGTCTCCTGTCACTTACTGGCTGTTTGACCTTGGGCAAGTCACTGTCCCCTTGGAGCCTCTGTTTCCTCATGTCTTGAGTTGTGCCTCTAAAAGCAGAGCATGTATTAGACAGAGGTTCTTGGATATTGAGGGAGTGTTCTGAGGAGAGTCCAGTAAGAATGGGGGGCGGGTGGGTATAGAAAAGAAGAAAGGGCCAAGTTCACCTGACTCAACAGGGAGCACAAAGTCGGTCCACCTTGAGGCCAGGGACCAGCCTTTGATATCCTTATATCAACAAGCCATTGACTACAGATTCTGGCCAGGGGGTTGAAGGGTTGAAGGGTGTGGGCAACCTCCCAAGTATTTCTGAGCAACACCTCATTGGCCAAGAGTAATTCTCTGGAGAAGGGACAGCTATGAACCAGTATCAACCAGCCCTCCCAGCAGCTGGGGTGTGAGGGTTGAGCCCCATGACAGGGATCTGGGCAGGATAGCCAAGCTCTCGGAATGCTGTGAGCACCAGCTGAGGGTCCGTTGTCACCGCGGGGCATCCTATACTCTTGAGCGGATGTTTGGAGGCTGGGTTTGCAGAAGGGTGTTGGGCTGAGCTCTGGTCATCTCAGTTCTATGGAGGCCAACTCAGCCCCTCTGGCTTCTGCCTATGCTGCCCCCAGGCCAAGATCCTGGAGCATGATGATGTGAACTACCTGAAGAAGATCCTCGGGGAGCTGGCCATGGTGTTGGACCAGATTGAGGCCGAGCTGGAGAAGAGGAAGCTTGAGAATGAGGGTGGGTACCAAACCTGGGGTAGGTGGGTGCTGGTGCCATCCGCCCCTCCCCACCCTGACCCTGACCAGTCTCAACCTCTTTTCCCCCCAAAGATCTCAGAGAACCCCTCCCAGGTGGTTACAGTCATGGGCCATGGAGTCAGGCAGACCTAGGTTTAAGTCCTAGCTTGGCCACTTACTAGTTGAGTGACAGTGGGCCACCTACTTCACCTCCCTGGATCTCAGGTTCCACCTATACAATGGGGATAATAGTAAGACCTACCTCAGAGAGATGTTGAGAAACTGCATGAAATAATACATGTAGAGTGCTTAGATCAGCACTTAGCACACAGTAGGTGTTCAGTAAAGGTTGGTGAAGATGATGAGGTGGTGGTGGGGATGTTGACCTTTCCCCTGGTTGAGGATGTATTATGGCCTCTCCGTGCTGCAGCCAGACATCCAGGCTCTCCCAGAGTCTCTGACCTCGACTCTTTCTGTTCTCAAGAGGCTGTCTTCTCTGGACCCTGGGCAGTCCAGCTTCATTCCCACCTCTGTATCTTTGCCCCTGCAGTTTGTCTAGCACTCTCTCCACACCGCCTAGCTCCTTCGTCCTTTTACAAAGCATCTTTGCAACAGCTCTTTTTCAAATTTCATTCCAGACCTTCCCATTGCTCTGTCTTAGGCAGGCTGTAAGTCTTGTCTGTTCAGCTACACGACTTATGGAGCCTATGCAACGTGTGCTGCTACACACACACACACACACACACACACACACACACACACACATAGACTGTGTATATTAAGAAGCACAATGTTCTAAAAGATGAGTTTACAGTCAGGCAGATTTGAGTTCTAGTTCCAGCTTTGCAGCCTGTGCTGCGTGACTTGGACAGGTCACTTCCCCTACTGGAGCCTTAGTTTCCTCTCCTGTAACACAGGATAAGAACACAACTTAAACCCTTAGCCCTTGTGTTGTACTCTTGCAAAAATTAAAAGCACCCGGTGCAGTGCCTGGAACAAACTAGTTCAATAAAATATGACAGCTAAAGACATGTACATTCTCCAGATGAGAAAACTGAGGCTCAGAGAGATCAAGTGACTTGCTCAAGATCACACTGCTCGTAACTAGCGTAGTTGGGGCAAGAACAGCTCCCTCCTGATGGGCCCAGTGCTCTCCTAGCGTCTGGCCGCTGAGGCCCTGAACACAAGGCACACTCAGGGACCCAGAGTCTACAACAGGGGCCCTCTCATTTGTACCAAAGCCAACGGCCTTAAATCCTCTCTAGAGGGGGGGAAAAAAAGGATGGTATGGCTGAGAGAGGAAGAATAACACGTACCTCAAGGAGGAGTGTTTTCACTCGTGTTGTGTCTGAGAGGGTGCCGAGGGAGCCATTGCAGGAGAGTGCCGAGGGCCAAACGGCCTCTGGGGTCAGACGGAGCCCCAGCTCCCCAGTTCTCTCGCTGGGGGACCTTCATTCTCAGGTGTGTTTTCTCTGTTTATCAATCGATTTGTTAGGGCTGCCATAACAAAGTACCACAGACTGGCTGACTCAGACACCAGAGACTTCCTTTCTCACAGTTCTGGAGGCTAGAAGCCCGGGATCGAGGTGTCGGTTTCTGCTGATGTTTAGTGGGTTTCGTATTTCAGGTTTTTCCTTTGAGGCCTCTCCCTCCGCCGGCAGCAGGCTCTGCACTTGCCCTGCCTTCTCCGCCCGTGGTCTGTGGTCTGTGGGCGTGGCCCTGGTGTCTGCAGCAGCCAGGCTGGATGGGGCCGACCCTAAGGGCCTCGTTTTAATTTACTTCTTTAAAGGCTCTTTCTCCAAACACGGTCACTGCCTGAGACACTGGGGCTGAGGCTTCCACACAGGAATTTTGGAGGGTCACAGTGTGGCCCATCACAATCTGTGTGTTTAACACCACTGACTGTGTGCTAGGCACTGTTTTTACCGTTTCGTGGTTTTTAACCCATTTAATCCCATAGGACGTAGGTAATATGAGTAACTCCATTTAACAGATAAAAAAAATTAAGGCACAGAGAGGCTCAGTAAGCTTCCCAAGGTCACACAGATAGAAAAGGTGGAATGGCCCCTGGAGCCATTCTTAAGCACCAGCTCCGGTGCCTCTTCTGTTCTGCAAAGGGAAGTGAGTACCCGCCTCTCAGGGCTGTCGTGAGGGTCAGTGAGAAAGTGCCTGTGAGGGCTCAGCACGCTCGCTGCCTCTCGAGCTGCTGTTGGAAGTGCCTGCAGACTCTAGCTGCTGTGTGGTCAGGGGAGACACAGGGTCCGACCTGGACGGGGGCCAGAGTTGGCCCTGGAGAGCAGCTGTGGACACACAGTCCTCAGGGGATCCTCGCCCAAGGACCTCCTGTCCGCACTCCCTGTTTGGGTTCCGAGGTCTCTAAGAGGCAGCACTGCACTGCCCGGTGGCCAGGTGGCCGGGGTTGTTCAGGATGGAGAGGTGTGGGCAGTCCTGGAGCCCCCTCGGGGCTGAGGGAGGCAGCAGAGGCCCCGGGGAGGCGGCTATGGGATTTGAAGGTCGGACTGGCTGGGCCCACATGGTCTCTCCGGCTCATTCACCTCTAGGGGGCCCCTCAAACCTTCCTAGGGGGAATGTGCCCACTTTTCTCCTTGTGGGGCAGAGCCCAGGGTTGGGAGGTATGATAACGTCCTAGTTAAGACCCCTAAGTGGAGCCAGCTACTGAGTGCTACCATTTCCTGCCACCATTTCCTGCTATGGCCAAGAGGACCAGCATATATGTGGTGGTTAAAGACAGAATTGGATGGTTTCGTCCAGGAGAGAGTTGAGACAAAAAGAGAGATCGAGATCTGCCGTATTCATTATCCACCGCTGTGTAACAGATTGCTCCTGAACTTAGCAGCTCAGACCTACAGCATTTCTCGTATCACACGTTTTCTGTGCAGTAGGAGCTCTGGGGCAGCTCGCCTGGGCGGTTCCAACTCAGGGTGTGGGATGCCGGCTGCAGTCAGGCTGTTGGCTGGGGCTGCGGTCTTCTGGGCCGGAGGACTGGCCTCCACGCTGGCTCACCCTCGGGGCTCTAAACTGGATGGCTCAGTTCCCCACTGGCTATTGGCAGGAGACCTCTTCTCTTCACCTCGTGGGCATCTCAGCAGGGATGCTTGCGTTTCTTTGCAATGGAGCAGCTGCCTTTCTGCTGAACAAGTGATCCAGGAAAGAGGGAGAAGAGGCAGAAGCCACGGTGCCTTTTATGACTTACGGACGTCACTGTCACTTCTGCCACATTGTGTTCCTTAGTTGCTAGTCATCAAATACAGCCCGTAGCTAAGGGGAGGAGAATTGGGCTTCACCAAAGGGAGGGGTACCAACCTGTGGGCACATTTTCAAACACCACACCTGCCCCAAGTTTTCCCCGCATTAAGAGAGGGGTAGAGGCAGAGGGGCAGGTGTGCCCGACCGAGATGGGGTGGCCAGTGAGGTAAGAGGACCCTGCAACCCAGGCGCCCAGAAAGGGGCTGGGAGGCTGAGTTAACAAGGATAGGAAAGTGCCCGTGGATTTTGTCCCGTGGCTGTTGGTGGTGACCCTGCCCAGAGCAGTTTCACTGGAAGGTGGGGGCAGAAGGCTGGATGCGCGAACAGGCGGAAGTGTGGACAACAGGTGTAGACAGCGCTTTTGAGAAGTTTATCTGTAGAAGGGACTAGAGAGATGGGTAGGGGCTGAAGAAGGCTACAGGGTGAAGGGAGGGTTAATTTTTAAATAGCAGGCACAAAAGTGTGTTTTTAGGCTGGTAGAAACAACCCAGTGGAAAGGAGAAAGGAATGATGCAGGACCAGTGATGCAAAGCCCACGAAAGGACTGGAGGAGGCGTGGTCCAGGCAGGTCCCCGTGGGAAACGGGGTGACCTCACATTGGATAAGCGAAGAAGGCTTGTCACAGGCACTTTCCACAGATATGTGGGCAGGTTTCAGGGAAACAAACCACAAGGAGAAGTGTGGTACCCTGGGCCTGAGGTCGTGAGGGGTGGGAGCAGGTTCTGACAGTGGACAGACAAACTGCGTGGAGAGGGCCACCTGGCAGAAGCTGTGACTTTCACTCTGGGGACACAGCCAGGGCATTAGACCTGCAGAGAGGAACCTGAAGGATATAGAACTTGGATGTAGAACCTCACTCTCACTGCCCTCCTGTCTCCTCCCGCTGTTCCCCATTGCCCGAGCCCCCTGGAGCCAGAGTCATCCCCCTGGTTGCAGAGCAGGGTAGAGAAGAGAGGAGAGTGGATCTAGAAAGGCAGAGGGGAGACAGGCAGCATCAGATGGGTGCAGAGGGCCTGGCCTTGGGAGCAGGTGGATTGCACCTGCCATTGTGTCAGGAGATGGCAGAAGGTACATGCACGTGCCTGGGTTTGTGGGCTTCATGGTGGGCAGTGCGGGCCTCCGTGTCTGAAGGCTCTCGTTTTCTGAATGAAGCATGAGGTGACGTCATCAGCTGAGAGAGGACTGAGAGGGGTGAGGCAAGATGGAAGATGTGTAATTCTCCACAGGGAATGGGGAGCAAGCCTACTTGAGAACTATTGCAGGCCCCAGGCAGTGCCAAGTGCCCTCTTGGGCTTTGCGGTCATGAATTTGAAGAGTAACTGGTCAGCGTGGGCGTCTCCAGCAGATTCGGCTGGCAGACTCAGGGAGGGCACAAGATGGGGTTCGTGTGGAGCTGGGATTGCCAAGGGAACTCCGCACCACCAGGGGTGGGGGGAGCTGAAGAAGTCAGCCCTCTGGAGACATGCCAGGCAGCTGCATGAGTCCCCATACACACGTAGTCATGGTTATCACTGTTTGCCTACAAACATGAACAAAGGCATGGACATTCTTAGTGACACACACATACATGCCTGTGAACATCTGTCTGCAGGCAAATAGCCACTGGATGCGGGCACACACTTATACACGCAGAGACCTTCACAGCGCATGGACACAGGCACCCATGGGTGCAGATATTCACACCCATATACACAATCAGCAGCATGGATTTGAGCAGACATGCATACCGTACATGGTATGGACACATAGATAGATCTGCACCCAAACCCAAGTAAAGAGTGCACTTATCAAAAGGGGCCCGGGTGTACGTGGAGAGACAGGCGTCTGCCCGCGTTCGTCGGCACGTGGGAAGAAGCGATGTAATGCAGCGGCTACACACACAGGCTTTGGAACCAGACGTTCACACCAGACTCTGCTCTCCCATTCACTTGCTGTGTGCCTCCGCTGCCTCATCTGTCAAATGGGGATAATAATGGCACCGACTTGGTCAAATCCTAGTGAGGAGTAGGGACGCCACCACACCCTCCCATCTGTCTCCCACCTCGCAGGCCGCTCTTCCCCCTGTGCCAGTGCTGGCTCCTCCTCACTGCACAGTCCCTGCACCTCGGAGTGGCCCAGGCTGTCCTTGGTCCTGTTCTCAAACCTGTCCGCCCTCACCCAGGCCGTCACCCTGATCGATCCTGCCTCCTGGCACTGCCCCTCACTCCCTGGTGCTCACCTCCCTCCTTCCCCGGCGGTAATTCCTTGGCCGTCACCATGAGCTCTCTCCAGCCTGCACCTTTCTCATTTCCTCATACTCACTGCAAAACCTCCAGCCTGGTTCAGCCGCCCTCCACCTATTCAGCACCCGCACCTGTGAGCCCAGATGCGGCTGGACACACGCAGAGGTGCTGGCTGCTCTCGCTTTGACCTCACGGCCACCAGCCTTAGGTGGCCTTCTTGCTGCCCTAGCCTTCCACTGTCCCCTCTCCAGATGAGTACTTAATACCTTCGCCTTTCTCCTCAACCCTCCCACCGCCTCGCCCACATCCTCTCTCAATTGGTCACTTTCCTTCTATATGACAGGAAATGGGGGCTTTAGGGAGAGGTTTTTCCAGCTCTGACCCCCACGAGTACTTACCCACCAGCATTCGTGTCCACACAGACACTATGTTACCAACTCTGAGATGCATTCGTGTTAAATCGTGCCACCTTAACTATCCAGTTAGTGAGAGACTGGAATGTGTCTCACAATCAGTAGCTTAGCTGGCATCACGTGTCCTCTGCGGGGTGGCCGTCTGAACATTTGACGGCAGCTTAGATTTAGTGAACCGTGGTGTCCCACACTCTGTTCTGTTACCAAGGACGGACTGTTCTCACCCTAGCTGAGGCCAGTCCTATCCTTGTTTCCTAGATGCTGTTCACGTTCAACCATTTGAGGACACCCCATGGGTAATTCTCTCCACTCTCTTCTCTAGATTCAAATGAGAAAAAGAAGAAATCTTCTCTGCTAGATTATTCCCATCCACATGCTGGTTTTTTCGCCCCAGCTTACAAAACCACTCTTGACCCGTCTCAAATTATTAGTGTATCCTTCCCACTACAGCAAAACACCTTGACAGAGAGACCTTTGCTCGCCATCTCCAGTGCTTCACCTCCCTTTCTCTCTTGAACTCCTTCCAACCAGGCTGTCACCGTCAGCATCTTCTCCAGCTGCTCTTGTCAAGGTCACACCACCTGCCAGCTGCAGCCACCCTTCTCAGGCCTCCTCTTACTTGACCTCTCCGCAGCACTTGAACTCAGCCGAGTGCTCCCTTCTCCTTGGAACATTTTCTTATCTTGGCTTCACGATGTCACCCACTCGTGGGCCATCTCCCACCTCCCCAGGCCACTCCTTCTCATGGCCCTTCACTGATTCCTCCTTCTGCCCAGTATCTAAATACTGAAGTCCCAAAGCTCAGTGCTTGCACTTAAAAACTAGGTTGATTTAAAGAAAAAAATGGACAGGGGTAACACAAGGGTACGGGGAAAATCACTCAAGCCGCACGGGCATGAGTGACCCCAGGGAAGCACCGTGACAGGCAGCCGGCCCCTGGAGGAGTCGGTGCGAGAGGGGTACGTGAGTGGGGGTGGAGAAGCCGACTCCTCCCACCCCTGTGCCCTCTGTCTTCCCTCTAGGGCAGAAGTGTGAGCTGTGGCTCTGTGGCTGTGCCTTCACCCTCGCCGACGTCCTCCTGGGAGCCACCCTGCACCGCCTCAAGTTCCTGGGACTGTCCAAGAAATACTGGGAAGATGGCAGCCGGCCCAACCTGCAGTCCTTCTTCGAGAGGGTCCAGAAGCGCTTCGCCTTCCGGAAAGTCCTCGGCGACATCCATACCACCCTGCTGTCGGCCGTCATCCCCAATGCATTCCGGCTGGTCAAGCGGAAACCGCCATCTTTCTTTGGGGCCTCCTTCCTCATGGGCTCCCTGGGCGGGATGGGCTACTTTGCCTACTGGTACCTCAAGAAAAAATACATCTAGAGCCAAGCTGGGCCTGGGCTCGGTGTCTGACTGTCGGTGTCTCTGTGCTGTGTGACCCCAGTGAGCTCTCAGTAATGCACTGTCTCACGAACACTTGGACAGCCCCTCCCCGCCCCTTGTTCGGAGTAATTCTATTGTCAATGTGAAAACATTCCATAGTTTAGAAGTAGACATTGCCAAGGCCGTGAGTTGAAGCCACGGCTCTACTAAGGGAGAGAAAGAACAGAAACAAGACACGAATGCCTTTTCTTTTGATTCAAGGCCTCAAGATGGAACTGTGGGGACTGGTTAGGATCTGAGGTGAGTCCCAGGCCATTTCACCCACCAGGGCCCAGATTCTGGGAGGTGCTGGGGGCTCAGAGGGCCTGACCCCTCGCCTCCCCTTCCCTCTTGCCCAGGGAACTCTTCCACAGGACAAAGCCAACATCAAGACTCAGCTGTTCTAAGTGGTACCCATGGGTGGGGCTAGAGACCCGGAGACCCCATGGGAGGCCCCCGAAGATTGGAAGGGACTTCACTCTTCTCCTGGACATGGACTGAGACAGCAGCGGCTCAAGCCAAGGCAGTGGCGCCCGGCTGCCAGGCCGTGACTAGGACCGAGCGATGCCACAAGCACACCCTCATTCCCCTCCTGAGGGGGTCAGTGAGTTCGGTTTGGCACCTCACCAGTGATCCCCGAAGGCAGCATCCGTCATCTTCTTCCCACAGAGTTGATCCCTCCCAGCCCCCGCCCCCATGAGGTGGACTTCCAGCAAAAGCCATGTTCGCCACCTTAGAAGGTCAGTCCTGGCCGGAGTGCAGGGGTGGGTGAGCCCTCAAGTCCCTCTCCTGGCCTCCGCCAGCGCCATCTCCTTTAATGTCCTTCATTCCCATCCCTCGTGGGGCACCTCCCGTGCCCCACCTTGCCACGCAGGGGGATCTCTGCACCCGTGCTGCCGGCCCTGGTCTTGTCTCACTTTCCTGTGCCTTTTGCATGTTGGGAGAGGGTCTGGATGTCACTGCCGCTCATGCTTAGAAACCACTGAAAGCCCCCAATAAAGCATCCAGGAGAAGCATTTGCTTTCCGTTTGTAAACCCGTGTTGTCCAACTAGCTCTCACTTCCAAAGGCGGGGGTCAGAGCCATAGCGACACGAGGTTCAGACCCGGTGCCCCACGAGCACTGGCAGGAGCTGGGCTCAGGCCTCAAGGTGCTCCATGTGGGGGCAGTTTCTGGAGACTGCGAAGTACTGCCGTTGACATAAGCCCTCAGCTGGACACAGTGCTTCTCAGTTTACGGGTCTGTTCACAGCCATTCGCTCCTGTTAACCTGTAAATGGACCTTCAGGGGACATCCAGGGGACCTGCCCCAAAAATTTCCCAGAGGGGGAAAATATGTTAAAATGCCCAAGAACATTAAACCAAAAAAGTATAATTTGTGTAACATAAGGCATATTTTTATTTATTTTATAAAAATGTATTAGAATTTTTCACTAAGATGAAAAGGAAAAATACCCAGGGCCAAGACAGGGAGAATACTTAGAGACTGTCCACCCCTCTGGCTACTCAAACATCGACACAGACCCTTCCCACGCATAATTAAACTCCACTCAAGAACAGTAGCACGCTTAATCCTAACAGGGCCAACAGCTCTCCTGAAATGCGCATATACCTTCTCTCCAAAAATGAGACCCATGATCCCTGTCAGTCAGTAACATCACTGGATGATGCTGGCTGCTCTTCTCCTTCCACCTCTGACGAGAGATCACAGGCACCCCTCAGTATAATGTAAGAGAGATGGATAGATGGATGGATAGATGGATGGATAAAAAATGTCAGTTTAGCCATCACCAGCATTCCCGTATACAGCAGATACACTTACATGACAAACAGGAACTACTCATAGTTGCTCCAGCCCTCATTTCTGTGACCAATCAAAAGGCCATTGATGATATTTATAGTATCTGTTTTTTTCTACTAGCTATTCTGTGTTCCTTTTCCCTCAGCCAGAACCTCGTGGCTGGGGTATTTTCCTGATGAAGGAACTCAGACTCGGGCTGCGGTAGTCTGCCATGAATCCTTTACTCACGGATGTGGAGTGCAGCAGGGCACCCAGAGACTCCTCTAGTTCTCATACACCGCCTTCCACGCCACCCCTGTAGCAGCACCCGACGCACCCTCGGTGATCAGGCCTGTGGCGCCGGCCAGCAGAGAAACCCACTTTGCCTGTGGTTGCAATGGTATGAGGAGTTCAAAATGGCTGCGTGGCAGTCTCAGCTTCTCAGTCAATCCGTGTGTTCCCTCACATTCCTTCCTTGAGAACTATAATCACTAGCCATCGAAGTCCAAAGTTCCAGCAGTGGAAAGCAACATTTTTGTGAAGGGGTTGTTTTGTGCAATAGTGAAAGCAGTCCCTCCCATCTCTACCTGGGCATCGCCGGAGCCCTGTTTTCTGCATGTGGAGAAACAGCACTGTGACGGTCTAGAGTAGACGGCTCTCAAACGTTGCAGCGTCTCCCACCTGGCCCTCTCAGGAAGCGAGTCTTCAGCAGGCTGCTTCAGTGTTTTATAAATCCAGCTGCTTCCAGATACTAGAATATGTGATATGACCAGAAAATTCCATAGGTAGGATCACACTGCCTCATTTCTTTTGCTGTGATATCAATTCTTTTGATACGGAATTCTATCAATTCCATATCAACGTGGTCAGAAACCATGTTGAATGGAATACTAAGGTGTCCATGGACGTTGTGGTCAAAGACAAATCGGAATACAGAATATACAAACTGCTGCTCCCTCCATGATGGGAGAGGTCAATGTAATGGACCTACCACTAGGTGGCTGGGTCTTATGGGAAGTGGCGTAAGCTGGGCCCTCAGTGATGGTTTTAGCTAAATCAATCTTCTTTATGTTTATTTTTAAAATATATTTTATTGATTATGCTACTACAGTTGTCCTAATCTTTCCCCTTTGCCCCACTCTGCCTGGTAGCCCCATTCCCTCCAGATTCCTCCACACGTAGTTCATGTCCATGGGTCATGCATATAAGTTCTTCGGCTTCTCCATTCCCTTTACTATTCTTAACCTCCCTGTCTATTTTGTATCTACCTATTATGCTTCTTAATCCCAGCACCTTTTCCCCTATACTGCTCCTTTCCCCTTCCAGCTGATAATCCTCCAAATAATCTTCATATCTATCATTCTGTTCCTGTTCTGCTTGTTTGCTTAATTTGTTTTTAGATTCAGTTATTGATAGTTGTCCATTTTAATGTTCATAGTTTTGATCTTCTTTTTCTGAAGTAAGTCCCTTTAACATTGCATGCAATAATGGCTTGGTGCTGATGAACTCCTTTAGTTTTACCTTGTCTGGGAAGCACTTTACCTGCCCTTCAATTCTAAATGATTGTGTTGCTTGATAGAGTAATCTAGGTTGTAGGTCCTTGCTTTTCATCAGTTTGAATACTTCCTGCCAGTTCCTTTCAGCCTGCAGGATTTCTTGTGAGAAATCAGAGGAGTCTTATGGGAACTCCTTTGTAGTTACTATCTGCTTTTCTCTTGCTTCTTTTAAGATTTTCTCATTGTCTTTAATCTTTGGCATTTTAGTTATGATGTGTCTTGGTGTGGTCCTCTTTGAGTCCATCTTGCTTGGGATGTTGTGCTTCCTGGATATGTATATTTTCTTTACCAAATTAGGAAGTTTTCTTTCATTATTTTTTTCAAATAAATTTTCAATTTCTTGCTCTTCCTCTTGTCTTTCTGGTATTCCTATGATTCAGGTGTTGGTACATTTGGAGATGCCCCAGAGGCTCCTTATACTATCCTCATTTCTGTTCATTCTTTTTCCTTCTTGCTGTTCTGGTTGGATGCTTATTTCTTCCTTAGTTCCAAATCGTTGATGCAAAATTGTAAGATGCAAAATTTGCAGATACGGAGGGGCCAAGGGCACTGTCTGAAGTTCCGGTCACTGACAGGAGTCTCCTCCTCCAGTGCCTTTCAGGGCGTCCCTGCAGTGCTGCACCCACCCACTTCTGGTTGGTACCCGGCCTGAGCTATTCCTTCCTCCATCAGTTGATCATAAGGATTTGCCACAAGGTCTTAGGTATGGACTGAGGAAGAGGTGGCAATGTGGCAGGAACAGGTGACGCAGCCTGAGTGATTTCGCTCCCACTCGGTAACAGAATGCTGAGGTGCATGCCTAGCTTTACAGCTGACGGATCAGATGGCACCCAGTTCGTGATGCACAGCTCAGGTTGCACGGTCTCTTGGTGTCTCAAGGTCAGGTGTTCAGTCAATACCAGGGCCCAACAGCAAGGCAGATACTACATTTCAAAATAACAATTGTTATTTGCAGAAGAGGACATGACTTTGTTCCATGTCCTAGGGATGGGCACTGAGACTTTCCCATTAGGGCTCGCTGGGGGCTCTATACAGACAAGTTTAAACATGACAGCCAGTTTAAGCACCACTGGGTAGACTGGGTCACGTGACTCGGTCGGCAGCGCACGCTGCACTGCAGCCTCAATCTGCTTTGGCACCCATTCAAGACTGGCTGTCTTACGGGTGACTCAGTGAATGGGATGAGGCTACCCTGCCTCCCAGATCCAGAGAGCTACCAGTGTGCTTTTCTCTTCGGGATAGCAGCAGCAACCTGCCTTTCATCGGAGGGGATAACCTGACCTTTCCTAACCCCTGGAACCCTAGGAACTCCACCAAGGTGCCAGGCTTCTGCACACCACGGGGTTTATATACCACTCTGGGTCTTCCTAAAGCACGGGGCGTACTTGCTATTTCCTGCTCATTGGGGACAGCGTCATGTTGTCAGTGTAGGGCGTCGATGAGTTCTCATGGGGAAACCAGGATAATCCAGGCCTCTACAGACTAGATGGCAGCAGAGAACAGAAAGGCCGCCTCAGGCCCAAGAAAGTGAAGTAAGAAAGCGAAAATGCCCTGCCAACTAGAGCTGATGGCTTCTGGGGGCGTCACTGACAGACCATGTCCCAACCAAGGGCCGAGTGAGAAATGCCAGAGAGTGTGCCGATTTGCTTTAAAGCGGACACCACCTGATGGAGTTACAGTGCCCATGATTCTGAGAGCCATTCATTCGGGAAAAATAAATCTCTACAATAAGCAGCCCTCATAGGTGCCTGATATCCTAAAGTCTGTAAAATATTTTCCCCTCCAAGAGTTCATCAAGCCAGTCAAAGACTAGTGAGGTAGAAAGAATTATCCCCATTTTGTAGACGACTGACAAGCCCGGAGAAGCTAAGTGATTCACCTAAGATCACACAGCTGTGGAGTTTGTGGGCAGGGTGTGGGCACAGTCCGCTCGCTCATGTGCGATGCGCCCAATAATGCCAGCTGAGAGTCAGCTTATACCCCCACCCATTCGCCCGTGCACCGTCCCCAGCAGCGCGGGGACACCCAGCAAACACAGCATGCTCAGTAAAAGCAAGCAGAGGCAGGAAGAAATGAAAAGAGTGATTGGGAAATGGGCACAGCAGCTTGGTTGAGCAAGGCCTGAACACCTTTGCTCCAGAAATTAAGATCCCAATCAGGGTGGCTCCCAGGCCCCCTCCTGCCTACTTACCTCCGGAGCACTCAGACACACATGTCCCAGGCAGCCACACCCTGGCAGAGAGGACGGGAAGAGCCCAGGCTGCATGATAAGGCCTCCAGCTCAGCTCCCCTCAAAAAATGCGCAGCCTGGAAACCAAGGCCCGGCTGCCCTCAAATTGCCTGTAAGTGGACAGCACCTCCAGTAGGGGGACCTGCTTTGCCTTGGCCAAAAGGACCCCATGGCTCTCCTGGAAAACACGTCTTGCCCTCCCGGACCCCCTAGTTAATCCAGAAGCCAGATGGCTGTTTTAGGGACTCCATTCCCACGCTAGGTCACTGGGACATGGCCTTCCACACTCACTGACCACATTTTAACTACTGCTGAGCTGACTGACATTAAAACACTGACATGTATGAGCTTTCTCTGTCCTGGTTTTAAAAGTGGTTATGGTAATGAGGACCCATCAGGGACTTACTGTACCTTTGAAAGACACTTTATGGCTTAGCACCTGCTATATTCACTATGTCCTGTCTAAACACTTTACACATATCAATTCACTTAGGCCTTGCAACAACTCTATGAAGTAATACTTACATTATCCCCATTTTACAGATGAGGAACCTGAGGCTGAGAGATCAAGGAACTGTTGAAGGTGACACAGCCAATGAGTGTGGCAGAGTCCGAATTAGAACCCAGGCAGCCCGGCTGGAGTGCATGCTAACCGCCCACCCCTCAGCTCTGCTGAGTGCTCTGTGTAATCAGTCACCTCCGCCTGAGCTGTGACGATGTTGGGGTGTTTTGGGGAGTGCTGTGCTGCTGAGCCCAGCACCCTGTTTGGAGTCGCTCATTTCGTTGTCTGCGCCCAGCTAGACTGTAAACCCCTGGAGCCCCGGTGCCCGACTTAATGCTGTGCCGAGCACAGTGCCCGGGTCACCCGATGCCCCTCAGCTCTTGGGCAGTGAATGCGGAATCACCTCCATTTACACTCCAGAAACAGAGGCTCAGAGAGACTGACTCGATCAAGGGCACACAGCTGTAGGTTACATGGCACAAAACCGAGTGTTTCTGCCTTCAAATCCACTCTAACTATAGCGTCATTTATTATTCATAGTGACTGCATTATGCTGCTCACACAGAGGTACCATGATTTATTTAATGGATTGGCATTTGGGGTCTTGACAATTTTCCACTGTAACCAAAAGCCGGAATGGAATCTTTGTACTTATTTTAGCCCATTTCTACAAGCATTTCTATGGCCCCAATCCCCAGACTGAGATTGATGGGTCTGCGCAGTTCCAGTTTGGACGGTACTAAGTTACCACCAAAACAGGTGGTACCTCTCTGGCTAGTGTGAGCATTGTCCTGTGAGTGGAAAGGTCGTGGGTTGGGCTCCAGGTTCTGTTCCCAGTCAGGGTGCATGCAAGAGGCAACTAATTGATGTTTCTCTCCTTCTCTCTCTTCCCCTCCTTTCCCTCTAAGCATGTCCTCAGGTGAGGATAAAAAATAATAATAAAAATGTAAAACAAAATACTAAGTTCTGAAAAAAAAACGGGGCGTGCCCATTTGCCATGCCCCCTCTCCCCAGCATATGGGAGGGAATACCTGTTTTCTGGGCTGTGTGTTCAACGTTAAAACTTGCCAGAGGCTGTGTAAGGGGCTTCTGGGGCAATTTCTGAAGATGACTCTACTGCACAGAGTTCTTCTTAACAGAACATATGTTCTCCTGTATAGCTGTCAGAGACGTTTGGTTTGGGAGACTTTTTAAAAAGACTTCTGCTGTAGTTCAGCCCTCTGGGAACCAAGTTCCGCCCAGTAAGTGCACCTGAGCCCATGCAATCAGGTCTGCACCACACGCCGCTGATGCAGAACGAGGGGTGTGATAAAGGGCACCCGAAGAACAGCTCCTCCTGCTCTCACCGGGAAAACAGCTGCCACCTCGCCTGTGAGGGGGAGTTTCTTTTCATGTTGTTTCCTAAAATAAAAGTCAGAACCAGCTTGGGAAGAGCTTTTCATCAAACAGCACAGAGAAACAGACCAGAGTAGAAGAGCTGGTAAGGTGATTCATTCCACCACCGTCTATTACCAGACAAGGAAACTGAGACCCAGAGACGCTGGGTGACTGGCTCAGGGTCACACAGAGAAGGAAGCAGTGGCGGAGTCCAGCTCGCAGCCAGGGGGTGCTCTTTAGGACAGTGGGGCACCTCCGTGATGTCCGCTGACAGTCCTGTCAGTTCCTTCCTCAGTCTCCACTGATTCCGAAAACAACGGGAAAGTTAGTTTTCTGGAGAAGGGACAGTTGGATGGAAATCGCGGCGGCCTGTCTGTGTCCTTGGGCGTGCTGTTCTCACTTCCCAGGATGCCCTTCTCTGCCTAACTGCTTATACTCCTCCTCATCCTCCAAGACCCAAAAGAATTGTTACGTTCTCTGAAAATAACCCCTACTTTCCCAGGGCAGCTGGTGGTCCCCAGCTCTTTGTCCTCCTGCCCTGACTTTTACCAGCACGCAGAACACTTTATGGTGAAAATGTCTCGAATGGAGAAGTGTATCAAATTTATCTTTGCCACCCCAGCACACACCTTAGGCTCTGAAGGGACTTACTTTGGATCACAAACCCCACGAGGCAAAGCATCTATCATCCTTCCCAGCTCCTGGCGTACAGCCCACCAAGGTTCGCTGCTGCTGACGGAACCTGAACAGGGAAAGTCTCGCTGTGGGAGGGGATTCTAATCCTGGAGCCGGTGAACTTTCGACAAGCACTCCCTGGGGGTCCCCAGCAGGTCGGGCTGGCAAATGAGTGGGCCCTAAAAGGCACAAGAAGCCTTCCGCTGTGTCTAGGCCTCCAGGACTCGGAGCCATTTTCAAAGATGACCTCATCTGAGTGAACTTCGTGACTGCTCTTCAGTGTCACTCTTCTTCTGCCAAGAAAACTGCTTCCAAATCTGGTCGATCCAGACACCAGGACTCCAAGACCCAGATATGGCGGAGGGAAGGAGCCAGTCATGCTAAGAAATATAGCGCTGCACACATATTTAGTTTACAGGAGAAAAAAAATACCTTACATGTAACGAGTGGCTCAGGAAAGAACTCGTGCCTCGTAAAGTGGGCGGAGCTCTATCGGTTGTAAACCTCCTTCGGGGGGATTAGAAAGGAACACACAAAAGGCTGGGATGTGGGATTTCATTATCTCCAGTTTACTTAATTTGCTTGTTTACACACACAATCTGCGTATACATAACAGTGGCAAGAGCCATTCTCTAAATACAATCTGGTGCTCAGACTGTGACAGATGCACATGGAAGACCAGGCGTCGGTGAATGAACCCGACAAAGAAAGGCAACAAAGCACAGCAGCACCCTGTGATCACAGCCGGCCTCGGATGGGCCTGGGGACGACACTTTCCAAAAGACACCACACGGCCATTTCAGCAGGAAACAGAGACCCCAAGTGGCACCCAAACGATCTTAATTCCCCTGCCTTCTCTGGAGGAGCCAGAAAGTTTTAAAGGGCTCAGTCAAGAAAAAGGGGTGGGGGCTTTACCTCTGCTGGGCATGTTACATGCTTCGTCTCCTTTCATCCTAGAGCATCACTTCCATGTTACAAACGAGGAAAATGAAGCGCGCCCACGGTCAGGGTGGTGGTGGTGGTACCCGGATCGGAACCCACAACTCAGGTTTGCCCAAGCCCGAACCCGGCTCCGCCAAACCGTCGCGCACAGGGACAGAGGGCCTGCTCCCAAGGGGAAGGCATGGGTGCTAAGGATGGACAGGAAGCAGCGGGAGACTAATCAATGTACAAGGCTCGGTAACAGACACTCTCTGCAGTTAAGTGGATGCTGAGCTTGAATCAGACCCAGGTGAGAAAAACGGAGAGACTGAAGTATGAGAAATGAACTTCTGGAGTCACCCCGTGCCTGCTGCCTTTGGTGTTGAACATGCAACTTTGGAGATTTCAATCCCTTCCACAAGCCCCTGCCATCTACTTCCCACCCCCACTTCCACCCCACTCCCACTCCAGAGGGCCAAAAAATCTCGTGGGGCCATTGCCTTTTGCCAATGCTTACAAAGCACCAGGGTGGCCCCTCCGAAATCTCATTGCTGGGGTGTCTGCTACCTTCTTTGGGTACAAGGTAACTCACCTCTCCCAAGGTAACTGCATACAAAGGGGGTATGAACTACATATTTTAAATACATCAGTATATGAAATACAATTTACCCTGAAGGTTTTCCAGAGCTCAAGCCCCTACTGACCTAAACTTGAGTGAAGCCAGTGAAGTTAAGGAGTATTTATCAGTTCACGCTATTCTCAGGCTTAACTGTGGGGTGGTGGAGGGTAGGGGGAGCAGGGGGCATCAAAGAAGCTTCGAGGACGATTATCCAAAATGCAAGGGGCTCAGTTCGAAAGGCTTAAGGAAACAGTCTGGAGAGGGGAGGGGGTATCTTATCACAAGGGATGTAACTGTGCCTGTGTTGGGGGGAGGTGTGGGATTTCTAGCCCCTCCCAGCAAAGATCACAAAATGACACGTGGGAAACTGAGAAGGGCCACAAAGGGGACAAAAAAGGTGATTTCAGGGCCAGGAGAATAGGCCCAGGTTTGTTTTGCCTTTGATGGTGGTGCAGATAAGAGGGTGGGGCCAAGTGATAAGGACATCTTTTCAAACAGTTAAGTTTCTCGCCATCAAAGGCAATGGAGAACATTTTCCTTCACTTCTGACTTATCATCTTATTCAAAAGGTAAAAACGCCTTGGGCCACAGGAGACCTCTCCGAAATACTGGTCAGTCTATACTGAGGACATGTGGCGAGGAAAGCTTCTTACAAATAGCCCCACGAGGTGGAATTTAATACCATCAGCCAAGACTTTGGTTTATAAAAAGTAAGTTAGTGTTCTAAAAAAAAAACCCTCAAAGCAACCTACACATGTGCCAAAGTGCAACAGTGGAGATGTGAGTTCTTTTCAGTTTTGTCGACAAACAACAAATGCTACAGTTACTAAAAACCATAAAGCACTCATTCAAATTGGAAGGAAAAAAATGTAACCTTATTGCTCCTATCACCAGTAAACAATAGACAGATGGAAACTTATCACTGTTCATTACCGGAAAAGCACCCGACATTCACTCACACAAGCACCCTGTGAACTGTTCTGGTAGCTGATCACAAGTCAGGTGTAACGGTTAACATTCCATGGACGACACCAACACTAAAACCACAGAGTGGCTTTCAGGCAACAGTTGGTTGTTTTTACCAGAGGGAAATACTGTTAAATAACAGCATTAACAACCATTAAAACAAACAAAAAACCAATTAGAATCAAGGAGAGAACGATGGCAGCAGAGGAAGCTGAGGCCCTGGCCTCCCCGATTCTGTCCTCTCACTGAGCCTTAGCCTTGCCCTCTGGGGACAAAGGGGACAGTCCGGATCAAGGTCAAGTATTGCCGGGACAAAAAGTGCCAAACTAGAAGCGGTGGTGCTTGTGACACAGAGTGACGCTGCCAAGAACAGCGGGGACTGAGCTCCACACGCTCTACCGCACCTACCAAAACTGCCTGGTAAGCCTCCTCTCCGAGGGGGGGGTCAATAATTTAGTCAAATAACTAAGAAAACACATAAAAATGGATTAGCCATTGTCCTACGGTCACTCCTTTTGTTTCCCCTTTTATTTCTTGTGACTGTCTTGCTTCAGAGGCGCGCTGGAGCCCTGGGGAGGCAGTCCCGGGGAAAAAGATTTCAGATACCAACATCTGTACGTCCCGTACCAACCCAGCAAGCCGAACACGGTGCCGCACACTTTCTGGAACCAGTTGTGGAAGTAAACGGTAGTGCAGAGAAACATCCACAACCAGATGAAGGTCAGCAAGCCCAGGGCGACGACCAGCGTGGTGATGGTGTTGTGGAGGTGGTGGCTCCGGTCCGTCTTCACCTCGTGCAGCACAGCCATCTCCTCCACAATCATGAGGGTGCAGAAGGCCAGCAGGAAGCAGTGGCCAGAGATGTCGAAGCCATGCCAAAAGCCGCCGGCGCTGAGGCACTGCTGCTTGCTCAGGTGCTCCTTCCTGATGCCCTCCAGGGCGGGCGACTGGTAGCAGCTGCCCGTGTAGTGCTCCACGCTGGAGAAGATGGCTGTGCAGACGTACCAGATGGCCGTGCCCACGAGCAGGGTGAACAAACGTTGCAGGACCAGGATGGCCTTGCCTGTCAGGTGATAGTTGGTGAGGGCAATGAAAGGCAGGAGGAGACAGAAGGTCCAGGCCCAGGCCAGTTTGACAAAATACCTGGCAGAGGAGGAAGGCAGAAGTGAAGAGAGGGGACATGGGAGGAAGGGACCATTTAATAACTTGCCCAGGGCCACACTCAACACAGATTAAGCCAAGGTTTGGCGAGTCTCAAAGCCCATGCCTTTTCTACACCATGACTCTTTCCTACAGGGCAGAAAATGATCTCGGAAAAGAGCCTGACTTCGCGCTGGAAGACCTAGACTCAAATTCTGACTCGCGCTTCATTTGTTACCGCACTTCTCTAGGCCTGTTTCCTCGGCTGGTAAATAGAATAGAGGGAACCAAATGGTTTTTTAAACCCCTGCCAGGACCCATGATTCACTCGTTCCTTTCCATGAATTAGCACACAGGCCAGGAACAAAATGCCAGAATCCCCAGCTACTGGCATACAACAGGGACTGGCTTGCCTGCCAGGCTGCTTGGCTCCCGTACTCATCCAGGCCAGATAAAGTAGCAGCTGCCTTCTCTGCCCCTCCTGTGCTCATCAACGGTGGCTGACCTGGGGGCCAGCTGCAAGCGACTTGGGGCTACTACCACTCTCATAATCTATCTTTAGCCCAGCTTGCCTGGTGGGTAAGGAAGGTGTACCAAGGACAGAATAACCTTTCCTGGGCTCGAAAGGTTTCTCGGGCACCACCTGAGGGCATGTCCTAAAATTCTTCCCTGAGATGAATAGGCGAAGATCTTGCCAGAGCCAAGAACTGTTGGGTATCTGATAAAGGTGCTGGTGAGAGACACCAGGGTTTTAAGTCCATAACCGGAGTTGGGTTGATTTGGGGAGATGCTGCTGGACCCTGTAATTCTGAAGAATCTAGGCCCACATCAAGGAAGAGCTTTCATCTTTCAGAGTTTCCCTGCTTGCAACAGTGTTTTTTGCAATAAAATTAAAATCTAGGAGATAAAAAAAGAAAGAGAGAGAGTCCTGGCTGGTGTGGCTCAGTGGGTTGGGCATCCTCCCGAAAACCTGTGTCCCATTTTGATCCCCATCCCCTGTCAGGGCATATGCCTGGGCTGCCGGCCAGGTCCCAGGTTGGGGGCGTAAGGAGAGGCAAACCACTGATATTTCTCTCCCTCTCTCTCTGCCTCCCTTCCCCTCTGTTTAAAAATAAATAAATAAAATCGTTAAAAAAAAGAATAAAAAGGAGTGAGTGGGTGGAGTTAAGGAGATGTTGCAAAGAGCGCAGCTGGGATCGCCTTCCTGGGCCACTGCCATGAACTCTGAATGGCTGACAAGGTCCAAGGACTCCAGGAGAAAGGTCATAGGCTGAGGGTGCCGCTGCTCCGCGATTACCTTGGAGTACCGGCCGTGCCCTGGGCTGGGACAAGGCTCTCAAAGGGGTAGGGGTGGGGTGGTGTGGGGGAACAGGTCTTCCACAGGTGGTGATGGGACTGTCACCAGCTGCGGGGATGGGACTTAGGGTGGAGGAATGGAGAGTGACACAGGCAGGAGAGAGGTAAGTGGCACCTCCCCCAGGCCAGGGGCCAACGCCTAACTCCAAGGGGAGGGGAGTAGAGGGGAGCAGCGACACAAGCTGGGTCGCCCCCCTTCCCGCCCTGCCATCCTGCATAAACACATACACACACAACCCTGCTCGCCACTTCCTGCCCTGTGGAGCTCAGGTTGTCGTGTTTGAGTGTGCAGAGACGAACTGCTAGTGACACCAGCTATCCCGGGTCCCTCGGTCGAGACACTAGTGCAGACGCTGTCATGACTGGGAGGACTTCCCCTCCCTATGACTGGTCCATCAGAGCAGCTAACCCTCAGCTCTCGGGACGAGGCGACAGCGGATCGGCTATGGCGGGGACATGAGAGGACCCGGGGCGCACTCACACGTTGAGGACGTTGCGCTTGTTGCTGAAGTAGGTCTCGGGCAGCGGGGAGACCTCCTTGAGGACGGAGCCCACCAGCGTGGAGGACAGCAGCCCCCAGGGCAGGTAGCTCCGCACGGCCACCCGCACCAGGGTACACCGGAGGAACGAAGCGCAACGCTCCACATGATTCATGTCGGACCTCGTCGGCCACCGTCCGCCGCCTTGTGCACTCTGGGCCACCGTCTGCGCCCTTCACCCACAGCGTGCAAGGCCGCCTCCCTCCGGACGAAAGCGCATGCGCACCGCCCGCGGCCTTCACCCCACTGAGGAGCGCTCGCCTCCCCCTAGTGGCCACAGGCCGTCTCGGTCGGGGACCGGTCGCCGAACTCCTAGCTCCCGTCTTCTCGGTTCTCTCGGTTCTCCCACAGGCGACGCCGCTCCAGTGTGGTAGGTTCGAACCTCAGCCTCGGCGTATTTTTCTGGGTAAAAGCTGGAGGTGAGGCATCAATGCAGCCCTGTAGGAATTAAAGCAGTGGTCACAGCATCATGTCGTCTCTCGTGGAGACTGGGGCACACCTCCTCCACCTGAGCCTTAGTTTTCTGTTCTGTAAAATGGGGAGATGAGAAATCAACCCTCCTCAAAAATTCGTTAATGAACTCGAGGTTCCTGACGGTGTGATCCAGGTATAGGGGCGTGAGATCAAATTCCGCTAGAAAATAAATGCGTACAATAATTATTACATTTAAAATTTCAATTGTTAGACTTACTTTCACTTCGAAAACACCTGCATTGAGTGGAAAAGCTGGAGCGGGGCGGGTGGCTGTCAGGGGAGCTCAGACGAGGGCGTCGGAGACTCAGGCCCGCCGCGACCCCGGAGCTGAGTCCTCCCGCGCGCCGTCGCCGCCGGGGGTCTCACTCCGCGTTTCCCGCCGGCGGCCGCTTCTTGGCCCCCGTGCGTTTCCCGGGGCGGCCGTAACCGGCCCCCCCACACCCGCGGCTTCAGACAACCCTCCGGCGGCCCCGAAGTCCAGCCGTGGGCGGCGTCGGCTCCTCCCCGGGGTCGGAGGGAGCCCCTTCCACGTCCCGGGCAGCCCTCGGCGTGCCGTGCAACCGCGACCCGCTGTCTCCGCGGGGGGCTCTCTCCTCCGCGTGTCTTCTCGCCCTGTTTCTTACCAGGACACTAGTCCTTAGACGTAGGGGGTCGCCCCGAGTCCAGGGTAATTTCACCCTAAGGCTTTTAATTAGATCTGCAAAGGCCCTGTTTCCAAATCAGGTCGCATTCCCAGGTTCGACTCTTCCCAACTCCGCGTTCGGTGACATGGACCCTGTTTCGAGTGTTTACACCAAGGGAACAGGCCGGCGCTGCAAGTCAGGGCTCTTAGATGGAGCTGCCACCCCGCTTAGCCGAACACGTTTGGGTCGAAACCGTAGGCTGGCTGTGGATGCAAGGGCCCAGCAAACATCGGTGAAAGCCTTCTGTGAGAATCCTGTCGCCGTTTGGAATTCACAATAGAGCGTTTTTGTACATTTCATTATTTGTAAACTATGCGCTACATATTCTTTCTATTAAGAACAATTTATAACTTCCGCACATATATACTTACACATTGCCCCCTAGACAGCTAGTTAAACAGTTATCAACAAGTCACTGGTGGTGATGCAGTGATTTCACACGTGAAAATATAGATGAAGTGGACCCCGGGAAGGAGGGCATGGGGCGGGGGAGAGAAACGGGGGGAAATTGGGAGAACTGTAACAGAACAACAATAATTTTTTTAAAGCAGCCCAGAAAAATAAATAATAGAGATAAAAATATATATGTCGCATATAAATGAATACGTGTGCTAATAGATACACAGGTAAAGCTATTAATGTAGCTTTATGACAGTTTATGACAATTTACCTCTACTTTGTATAAGGCAGTCTGATGTTTTCTATTCAATTATAAATTCAATGAAAAATGCTGGCCCTGGTGGGTGTGGCTCAGTTGGTTAGAGTGTTGTGCAGTAAAACGGAAAGGTCTTGGATTGGGTTCCCGGTCAGGACACATGCCTGGGTTGCAGTTTGGTCCCCAGTCACAGCCCCTTGGTTGGGACCTCAATGAAAGGCTCCTGATTGGTGTTTCCCTCACATCAGTGTTTCTCCCTCTCCTCTCCTCTCCATCCCTAGCTCTCTGGAATAAAAAAGAAATCCTGGTCACGACCTAGCATTTAACGCTCACCAATGGGTGGGGATCTGTAATTCGAAAATCACTCCACTAGATTTTAAGGCATCGGAGGATGATGCTCTCCTCTTCTCCACCAGAGGGTGACAGAGGACAGCAAATATCGCGGTTCTGCCCGGCCTGAGGCTTCGCTGGTACCACCTAATCATTGGTTTCAGTCCTTCGTTTATCTATTCAATAAATACTCGTTAGGAGTATGTGGTTTCTGGTCTCAAGGAACGTAAAATCTAGTGAGGGTGATGATCATTGATTTATTCAGCCATTTATTAAGCATAGGACTAGATGTTAGGATCTCCCATGTTTTGGATAAGTAAGTTTCCTTGCTAAGATATAAGACCCTTTAAAAACACAGTTTCCCACGTTTGAGGCAGAAAGTACAAACTGAGGCTGGACTAGCTGGTCAAAATAAGCAAGGAAGCCATAAGCCATAAAAGACTGGTAAGGTAGTTTCAGGAAGACTCAGGAACCAATCAAGAGAAAGGCTCCCAAAGGCCAAAGATGGGACAATTTGGGGCATAAATAAGAATAATAAGTTCACTGAATGGAAACACACACATCTGCTTAAATCCATACATTCATAGTAGCACTTAAAAACCATAATGGGCTCTTCTGAAGGAATCAACTCATTATTTTGAAAATAGTAAAAGGTAAACAATCGAACATTTTTTTCTGCCTCTCCTATAGGAGCTGAATCACTGAATAACCAAAGAGTAAATGAGTTTTTTGTTAAAGAAATATCTCAACTAGTAAATGAATAATTAGAATATCACCATATGTAGCATGGAAGTAAAACTGTTAGTTTGAAATATTGGTGAGTCAAATTCATTACAGAAAAGGAGTCAGTTTGCAGATATTCATAAAGAGAAAAGCTAAATACTGAGCAGCATTTTTAATTAAAGCTTTAAAATTACATCACATGAGATTTAAAATTTTTAAGGCAGATTATCATAATTTGAACCATCGCCCAGAATTTTATATTTTAGTTTTCTTAGAGTCAGATTTTATAACAGCACATAGCTTCATGTTTACTATAGAAGTGGAGAACGAAAAATATATCTGCTACAAAAAAGTAATATTTTCCTACTGAATGCTAACTAATTTCATAAGCAAACCCCACATGTATGTCCCTTTTGTTACAAGAATCTGGAGATTATAGAATTTATGTTGCCCTGGCTGGTGTAGCTCAGTAGATTGAGTATGGGCCTGCAAACCAAAGGTTTGATCAAGGTTTGATTCCCAGTCAGGGCACATGTCTGGGTTGCAGGCCAGTTCCCAGCAGGGGACGCAGGAGAGGCAACCATACATTGATATTTCTCTTCCTCTCTCCTTCCCTTCCCCTCTAAAGATAAATAAATACAATCTTTAAAAAAAGAATTTATCTCGAAGTCTGAGTTTTTCTTGGACAAATAAACACTCTGCTTTTTGATATTGTGAACATCGCTTTTACTTGTCTTTTTATTTTGGTGGTGGTTTAACTTTTTTGAAAACTATAAAATCATTAAGTTTGTGGAACAGCTGCATGGAAATCACCTGCGGTTACAGTTGTGCTTTGGCCCTGCCGAAGGTGAGCACACGTGTGTAAACTAGAGACAGTGAAAGGAAACAGAGGTGTTTGCTGCCTTCTAAGTAAGGACTTTTTTCGTTTTTACAACCACATTACATTATAATGCCTGATTCACAAGATTAAATTCTGCTGGGGTAGAATACCAAAAAATAAAAAATAAAAAAAGGGAGTGTTTCCATTAGAAAAAAGGTCTCTATTTTGACATTTGGCCGGTTTAAATTGCCCTGTAGCACTTGATTAAATGGCAAAAACTAGGAGGTTTTCATGTATTAGGAGTGTCATCGCGGCTTCTTTCAAAAATATACTTCATGATTTGTTTATTCATGGGTTTATTTCCTGTCCTCTCCTACTTGAATGTCAGCCCCAGGAACTAGGGAACATTGCCTCTTTTATTCTGTAATGCATCCCAAATGTCTAGAATTGTGTCTGGCACCTACTAAATATACAAAAAAATTTTTTAAGGTTTTATTTATTGATTTTTAGAGAGAATCAGGAGGGAGGGAGAAGAAGAGGGAGAGAAACATCGATTGGTTGCCTCTCACATGCACCCCCAACAGATGGGGAGACCAAACCTGCAACCTAAGCATGTGCCCTGACCAGGAATTTGAGGAATCACACCCAACCCGGCCACACCCATCAGGGCACACACAAAAAGTTTTGGGGATAAAACAAGTTAAAGAGTCATTATTAATATGCAATGTAAAGGAAAATTATTTTAAAATTTAAATTTGTTCTTTATAAACAGAAGAGAAACCATGGGAAATGGTCATTGTGAAATTGATCATAACTCACCGTGAAAGGGGTTTTCTGGTTCACTAAGTCTGAAAGATGCTGAGGTAGAACGATAATAGGTTAATTAGAGGTTGCTTGGGGCCATGAGGAGAGGACCTTGTAATAGAGACAGGGGGGCTCAGTGAAGGGTTATTGGAAGAGATGATTTCTAGCTAAACTGAGGTCTGAAGGACTGGCCTGGGGCTGTCCGGAACAGTGGGGAGAGGCCATTCCAGGGAGAGCAACAACCAGCAGGTGCCCTTTTGTTGGCTAGTGTGTGTGAAATAATCCGCTCTGGGTTGGCGTGTGGATAGGCAGCCCAGTCATTCTCCCGGGGGGCAGCCCTCTTTGTCTACAGCTTCTGGCCAGCCAGCAGGAGTATTCATCCCCAGCACCAATTCCTGCCTTCTGCGCTCTCCTCTGCAATGCCTCCCCCCTTCTTAACCCTGGCCACCTGTCTTTCTGGCCGGAGGGGAGACTCGCCACTGCCTGGGATGAGGCAGTTGAGCAAAGTGGGTGTCTGCTAGAGACCAGGCTGCTTGGTTGCTTAGCTGGGAGGGGGTCGCATCCACTGGCTGTGCCCCCTAGCACCCCCACCATTATTGGGGCCCATTTGGGCACAGGGCCATAAGGGCTGGAGCCAAAGGGCAGGAGTCAGGGAGAACAGTGGAAGGGGTTGCCTGGGACCCTAGACCATCC